CACCTGATCTGGAACAAACAGCTGCCCACCACCCTCCACAGAGCAAACACTGCCCATCACAACCTATTGCTACAGCAGCACCTTCAGAAAAGGTCTCATATCAAGGTGGTGAACAGAGGTGTTACCTTTAGAGTGAATAAATGGAGGCATGAAGAGTAGTGGTGATCATCAGACACTGCAGTGAAACAGTTTTTTTCCCCCTGGAGAACCCATGTCTTTAACCTGCAATATAAAAAAGTCCTTCTGAAGATGTTCTATGCTCATTCACAACAGAGCCAAGAAAGCTGCTACTGCAGGGAGATTACCACAGAAGCTCCCAAGTTCATCTGTCCTCAAGGATGTGGCCATAGCAGAATTAATCACTCCACAGTTAGTTTAAATCCACATAAAAATCTGAATTTTGCTAATGGTTGCTGGTGGCAAGTGATGGAGGTGTGAACACCCTGAAGCAATATAGTTTTATTGACGCAATCAAGAAAGAAAACCCATTTTGGTGGCTCATGACAGATAAACACTGCAATGCTGCATGTGTCCTTGCAGCCCAGGTCATCCCTGGCATCCCCAGCCTCCCTCTTCAAGGGACCGACTGCCTGAGCTACAATATCCTCCAGGAGGAAATCCTCTGGGATTTCCTCATTGTGGACAATGCAGGGATTGTGACGCAACAGTTACCACCAAACATGTGGTGCAATGATCAAGCTTGGACTTCAGTCTCTCCTCTGCCAGATGGGTGCCCTGGGAAAGGTCCTCACATCAGCCAGAGCCACCCAGAGCTGAGGAAATCACTCACCAGAGACTCTGTTAGGACAGGCAGAGGCAGAAGGGAGCAGGACACGGGGGGTCACACAGGGGTGAGCAGGCAGGGCAGGGCAGCAGCACCCAAGGAAGTGCTTTGTGTCTGGCCTTGCCTCACCTGTGCCCTGCCCCAGCAAGGGCTGAGACAGACAGGGCAGAATGAAGAGGGCAGTGCCATCCAGCTGCTTTCCCCTCTCTGCCTCTGTGTTTTGTCCCT